TGTCATATTTATTTTTGCTGATAGTCTGTCACGTTCCCAAAAATGTATACTTCTCGTACAGTTGCAGAACATGACACTACTGCTTACCAGGTAAGCGGGATACTCATCTAACTAACATGGTAGAAGACCATACTTTCTGCAGTACTGTAACTACTCAGATTCAATGCCTGATGAGCAGTCATGATAGAGGAAGGAAAAGTGGAAGAACAGGGATGTATGGACGGATGGATGGATGGATGTTCACTAATAGAGTCAGCTCAACTGCGAATAAGTGAAAAGATTTAGCTATGATTTTCAATGTCACATTTTATTTGTGAACACCTGAACAATCGATCAGTGCTTATGAAAGTGTTCACAAGTACAGAAGGCTTAACAAATGTAACTCAATGAATTACTCTTTCCTGCCACAAACCTTTACCAACAGCACATTTGCTGTTTGCTCTTCTTCTACACTGAATGTTACAGTAGTTTAGTCACAAAGCAGAAATTATGCGACTTAGGTGCCTACTTATAGAATATGAATAACAAATAGTCCCAGTGAAGCCTTAATGACTGACCTATAATCTGAAAATGATCAGAGAGAATGTTTTTAGCAACTACATAAATAATATACTTTTAAATCCCCCTTTTTAGAGTTTTAATTTCTACATGCAGGCAAATAGAACTGAAAAAAACTCAAAACTATCTCACAAATAACTGAAAAAAAAATGCTATTTAGCTTTTTGTTCAGCCAGAACTGTTTGTGAAACAGAGTGAGTATATAAATGTTCTGCAAATTCATTTGATCAGATTTATTATATTGTCAAATATGCATGTTTTGTCTTTCTGAAGAAAGAATTTAAAGCATAAATTTAAACAAAAAGTGTACACCTCCTAATATCTGTATTAAGATAAATTCATCTCTGATACAACTTCACTGACAGCTGTCTCTGGTGAGATTCTGAAAGCTACACACTACTGTCTAAATATTTAGATCTGAAACCAATTTAGTGTTTATGAATCTTAACTATGAAGGGAAAAATATACAGTTGTGAATGTTATCAAATCACCACAAGCATGGATGTGTTTATCTAAATGAGATCACCAACTGCAAATTCAAATGCTAGAGGACTAAAGATGCATCTTAGGGAAAAGAATAAAAACATGGACTATGTTCTTTCTTTCTTTTCTTTTTTTTTTTACAATTCTTGATTTTTTGAGACACCGTAATTTGATAGACTTGACTACTGGATGACTTAGATTCTCAGTCACCTCCAGGAATGATTACTGACCAGGCAATAGAATGACATATTGGTAGAGTTCCAAAAGGTCCATGACATGTTGCAGCTCTTGTACAAATTTCAAATTTTTGGCAGTGCCTCTGACATATCCTAGTTGCCCAGCATGCGTGGAACAACTGCACTGAATCATGCACATTCACTGTGGCTCCAACACAATCCTGTGTTGTGCCAATGTCAGCTACAAAAACAATGGAAAAAACTTACCATACTACAGCTACAGATGGCTGACAGTGGCACAATCATAGGAACCAAATGCAAAGATGTATTATTCCATTTTGGAAAAATTTTATAGTATGTCCCAAAGTAAAGCAATTAATGCTTTTAGATTGGGATGTGTTGTGCCTCAACTAATTCTGACTTGAACAAACATGCCAAGAACCCAGAAGGAGCAATTCATAAGCCCCTAAAGATCCTCCATGAGGACAGTTCTCCTTAGCAATGTCAGAGGCCCTCAGGGCAGACACTGCCACCTTCACTCGTCGTCCCAAGCAATCAGCTGTTCTTTCCTTCCAAGCTAAAATGCACAAGCTGTGGCTGAAAATAAGAGACCTAGAAAGCAGCTAGTTGAGCATGAGGACTGGTTCCACTAAGCAGTAGGAGGACTGGCCTCTGCCATATGGATGGCAGAGGGGACAGAAGAAAAGACATCTTTGGCAAGTGCAGCTGAGGCCCCACTCTATACACAAAAAATGTTAACATATTTCTGCTGGAAAATGCTGAAATTTATCATTCTGTCACAGAGTAACATTGAGGTATAATTATTTTTGAGTTTTTGACTCTCAGGCTTAGGTATGAGAACTGAAGCTAATTATTTCTATTAATTATTACTACTAATTGTATACACTATTTCTCTTGGCTACCCATATGTTGAGTAAGCTGTTTGCAACCTGCTGCTCCAGCCACACTTTGTTTATTCTTCACATATCTTTAATCACGCTTATGATAACGGTCTACCGTATGCTCTGATGATAACTAGGAAATCAGCTTTGAATTGGATAGGCAGAAAAAAAGCAAATACTTCAATTTAAAAAATATGGTAAAGTGAATGCATGCATAGGTTAATCACTGGACTGAGTGCAGAGCTGAATACCTCAAGGTAGGACAGATATATACACAACTAACAGCTTAAGTGGAGGTAAGTTCCACTTCTCTAGTTAGGAGATCGTCAGAAATATTCATGATACTTTCTTGGAGTCTTAAGATCAAAATTTGACCATGTGTGACTAATGCTTGTTCATGTTATGTTAGTTCAAGCATTTTGTCCTGCAAATTACTTTCAAAATTGCATTGTTTTGAAGAGCTGGATGAGTAAGAAGTATGCAGAATTACAATGATAGAGAAGTTATTGGTGGTAGATTGTACTTTCCCTTGGAAACACTAGGAGAATCCATGCTACATTATTATCACAGATAGGTAGCAGTAGTGTTTCTCCTTGCATTTGGTTTTAATTCTGCATACCTCACATGTTTATAAACACTTAGATAGCTAATGTTTGCAATGATGGGTTGGTGATGTAACAGACAGACTAATGGACAGTACCTGCAGGGGTGAAGGTGAAGGACTGAACTGCAAAACAAGAAAGCAAACACATTGTGAGTTACAGACCCTGATAACAAGCGCTAATTGCAGGGCATGAATTTCCTTTGGAATTCTCTCAGTTGGGGTTTAATATCATATGCAGGACATAACAGTTGAGCTTTAAGCACTAACCAGCCAGCAGCCAATGAGAAATGACAGTGGGAAAGGTGAGCAGTGAAATTTTGACAGTCGCAGTTGAGGACATGCTCTTCCCAAACTGTAAACATAAGGATGAATTCTGAAACACAATCTCTTACGAACTTTCCTTGCAGAAAGCATACAGCATTTCATAATTCTGGTAATGGAAATTCTATGTTATGATGCAATGTTCATACTACATTTAGATGCAGCAAACATCATGAGAAGTAATGAGTTGCAGGAGACACACTGTTTATAATGTCTATTACAACTATTTACAATGACTATTATTACCATTTACAGCTATGCATTTTAACGTGTTAAAACCTTTGCTCTCAAAGAAAAAAGAAAAACCATGCCAACTCACATACAGGACTAATAATTCTGCTTGTTAAAAAAAAAGGTAATCTTAGTTTGCATCCAATACATATGTAAATATATGACAGTTTCCTAAGGGGAATGATGGCATAACTCTTAATATGAAGAATCTGGGGATCATATAAGCACATGTGGAGGTACATGTGATATAGATTCTTCTGAATTAATGCCACGTCTCAGAGAGTAAAAGTTGTCACTGCTGTTAAAGGAAAAAAAACCTCGTCAAAAAGCATAATCTATGAATGATGCAGGCCACATGGTCTCTCAAGGTGAAGTTCCGTAACGAACTGCATCAATCTAAGAGTCTGTTGCCACTGAAAGGGTCTCTTTCCTCCACACTTCTACCGCACTGGCTTTGGTGCTTCATTTTACGAAGCCGACAGAAAACTAATCCAGCAGGGGAGAAAGCAGGATTAAAAAAACCCACCACCACCAACAAAAAACCCTCTACAACTGTGAACTGCTTTCTTCCGGGTTAGTGAGCCCAGTCAGGAAATTGAGGGGGTCTGATAATGGCCAAAGCCAGGGCGAGGAGGAGTAGGACTGTGTAGCTTGGAGCAGGGAAGGAATGTTCGGTTTTGGCAGTAGAAAGATATTAGAGATGCTCAGCCACCTGGGGAAACTGTCTTCTGGTTCACATGTGGTAACTTATAAACAATAGAATATTAGCATAACATAGTTTGATATAGTGTCAACAGCAAACATATCGAATACTCAAACGTGTGAATCTTGCTCGAACAGGAAATGTTATCTCTTATTAGATGTACTGTATAATGAGAAACTACCCCAATATTTGAAGAACAACTTTTTTCATGTTAACTCAGGTTTTAGAGCAACCCATTTCTTTGGTAGTGCTGTATTCATCTGGCTGCTTAAAAATCTGTAAGAATCATGAAGCACAGAATAACACACAAAACAAAAAGTTTTGGAGAGGGAGGAAGAAAAATTTTCATATGGTGAATGCACTTGCTTTTCCTACTGTGTTTTTCAAAATCTGGTTTGGAACAACATGCTTTGTGCAAAAGGCATCACACTGTAAGGCAGCTCCAAGGAATTCTACCTCCAAGACAAAACCTCCTTTGGCTTCTACCACAGGTAAATTTGAGCACCCCTTTTTATCTAGTACATCATTTTCTTGTCCTCCAGTTCCATGTATGCAGTTAGTGGCTAAGTATCTCAGCTTATTTCCCATGCATGTGGTTCTACAGCCATGGAAATGCACAGGAATGAAAGACGAGAAGGCTGAATACTCTTTCTAGCCTTTCACATAAGGGTCTAGTCTAACTCATGTTTGAGCACATAACTGGAGCTGGACCACTAACAGAGTGCCTTCTGAGCAAGGAGTAAGAGGCATAGTTAATCCTCTTTGTACTTTTTTATGCTAAATGTGTTGGAGATGTAAAAATAAAGACTGTCTTATGATAATGATGAAGTGTGGTTCACAGCAATGCATTTAAAGCTTCTCATACACCAGCATTTTCACAGCATACATTTAAAACAAGCTTACGAAATTCACCCAGTCCACCTCTGTCGTAAGGTCATCCTGGTTTTTGAATAGGTTTAACAGCACCTATTCTCTTCATGATAGAACCTGATGAGATGGTAATAAATAGTTACTGTTCTTACCAGCATAATTGCTGAGTCCCTTCCTCTTCTTTCTGCGCCAGTACAGCCAGATGCTGAAACCCATCAGAATTACCCAACATGCACCACCGATGCCAGCTATAAAGGCAGGCTGTTTGACAACATCAGTGATTTGCTCAGTTATGCTGTTGTTATTTTCAGTGATGACAACTTCATTACGACCTCCTGCACAAAAGAAAGTCAATAGAACATATTTATTAGGTACTCTGTAACCAGGAACCAGGTACTGTAAATGAAAATTAAAAAGCAGTAACGTGCCTCAAAAGAATTATCCTTATAGGGTACTAATGCATACTTGAAAAGCCATGTTTCTAGTAAGTGAACCCATAATCCATTGTAATTTTGCAAATATATATTTGAAAAGACAACTCTGTAGCATCATAGCACTAACCTAACTCTGTAGAACTAACCTAACAGATCACAGTCCAGTCTTTTAACAATATGCATGTATTTTTTGCATAATTATAGGCAGAATAGAATGAAGATCGAATGGACCATAGTAAACCAACTCCAAGAAATAAATCAAGTAATTAATAAAGAACAGTTCTGTAAATGAGAAACACAAATATCAAATTTGCTACAACATCAAAAGGCAGCTCTCTCATTGTCGGCACATCAAGTGTTCTTATTGGACTCATTACCTGCTGCATTCCAGGGCTTCTAAATTTAAAATAAAAAATTAAGTATATGTATTTTTAATTGGGGAAAGGATGCATTTTCAACAATTATTTCACGGAGAAAGTAATTCACATGGATCCTAAGTACACTAACTTTGACACAAAACATAAAATAGTTTAGATAACTGTAAGTTTCACCTGCGAGAGTGTATCACACACGGAGGTAGTAGAATATATATACAGAATAAAGCACTGAAATGGTTGTTCAGAGCAAATTGTTAAAAATATTGTAGCATTACACCCTGCTGTGAAGATGTATGCATTCCTCTTCTATAATTCAGCACTGGTTAAATTTACTAGTCACTTATTAAAGAAAACTGCTGCTGTGTCAGCATGCTGGCTCCAGTCTAAAGCAAACAAACAAGGTCATCTGCTAAAGTAGATACAAGAGAGAGAATTCAGATGCTATCAGTTTTATTTTCAGGAACGACTCTTTACAGCAGATCAACAGCTTAAATCAGTCAAGTTGTGAATAAGAACCAGGCCCAAAGGCCGGGTCTCACTGAGCACGCCCTAGCTGTGCTCAGTGCCAGGCAGCAGGTCTATCTCGGCAGTGCCCCAGTGAATGGGCACTTTAGGTCCTCTGCGGTATTCAGAGCTGGATCGAGTTACTCAGGAAGAAATGTGATGCAGTGCATTATATTGCTATAACACTGTTAATGATCTCTGTGATTTTATTAAGCTTTCTCTCTTTCATCACCACATCAATATTTAGTAAGGATGACCGTCTGCTTTTGCAAACAAACTGCTGAAGCCGTGCTAGAGTTTGGCTTGGTTTCAGTAGCTCTATTCAAGAAACAAAGCAGGCTTCCCATAGACCGAATAGTTCCCACAGACCAACACTGACAGGCTGTGCCTGCTAATTTAGAAAAAGGCAGATGTAAAGACTTTGCCACGCACCAGTCTACACTGGGTCATGCTGGTAAGCCTTACTAGCATCAAGGCCCGGTAGTTGCTACAGTCCTCTCCAACCAAAGCTTTCATATTTCGTCCTGCCAGCTATCAAAGGCCCAATGATTTCCACCCTGATGTAATAAGGGAGATTAAAAACTCTGAGCACCAGTGGCAAGGAAAAGATGGGAGGTAGCAGTGGCTCCTTTGCAGGATTTCCCCCTTTCTTGTTGCCCATAGAAACAATCTATGGGTGCCCCCCAGAGCTAAAAGAGGAAGTGCTGAGAGTAAAACTAATAGAAAGAGGCACTCTATAGCATGCTCTTATAAGCACACAATTGATTTTGTAGTAGAAATCAGCATGGGAGTTGATGCAGCTCTAATTGGCATTAACTTTCAGTTAATTTCTGCACCCTTTGGAGGCTAGGTAAAAGCAGCAGGACGGTGAGGAAATAGGTAATGTCTGCCCTGCTTCGGAGGCAGCTGTGCTGCCGTGGAGAAGAGGGGGGAGGCAGCGTTTTGGAGACATCGGCTTCGGCAGCGGATGCTCCCAAATTCAAGAAAAGAACGAACTACTTTCCACTAAAGCCTGCAAAATGTTTTGGTGCTGAAGATCCTGTTTTTATCCTGAGGTCAGAAACCAGTCATCTTTGAATTGGAGGGTGAGAGAACAAACTGCAAAGAGAGCTCAGAGAGAGGTTTCAGGGGACTTTATAATCTCCCAAGGGCTCTTCTGAGGGAAGGTACAATCTGTCTCCAAATTACCTTCTAAAGTTAGCTGTCTGGCTGTTTGTTCTACCCTCCACTGCCTAGTAATTACATGTGCAAAAGTAATAATTCATTTAAATGCCAAAATAACATATGCTTTGTGAATTCAGTGGCTGAAAAACAAATGGATACAGATCAATGTTACCCACCGATGTTCAATAAAGTTAATATAATCGTAAGAGTTAGGGCAAATAAATGACATTAATTTTGTATTTATCTACATAATATTTAATTAGAAGTAGTATACATGTCATCCAAGGTACCAGTATACTATTTCATATACTGCAGGTGTTTCTGTAACAATGCTGTCAGTTCAACTAATTAGAACATAGACAAGGGATGTGTGTGACCTGTAACGCTCCATTGTTCCTGAAGACAAAAACATAATGAAATATAATGTCTTCCTCCCATTGGAGAGTAATGAAGAACAAAACTAATTTGTCGGACCAAAAATTAATTAGACACATCAGATTCAATTGTACCTATTACTGTGAAAGTTTGCAGCTGTTCCTCATACTATTATGCCAATGATGGAATGTAAGCATGAACAGGCCAACCGATCAAGAGAAATAACAGAAATAGTTATCTTCAGTTTTGTTTCTTGTATTCCATGTCAACAGTGATCAGAAAAATTTTAGCCTTGATTCTCTTTGAGGCTTCTATAAAAATTTTTAACATCCTGCTTGAAGTATGGGCACAGAATTCCTGGAGGTCACACAATTCCCAACTAAAGAGATAATATACTTTCTACTACTTAATAGTCTCCTGTTTTTCACTTTCTGGACCTTTATTAGCCTGTTATGTAGAACTGATCTGAGAAGTCAGTAGTTGATGAACATCAGTCATTTTCAGAATAACTTCTCAGAATAACATCTGCTGTATCGTCAAAAGAAAGGATATGTTTTTCTTACAACAATAGGGGCTTTGCCAGCCCCTCTGGACTCTATATTTGGTGACAATGCAAGTCATACTGTTTAGCAACAAGTTGTTCTACATCACTGACCTGCTGTCTCCATACCTAAGCATTTCTGCAGATGTTCCTCTGTTTGCAAGCTCTTAAATAGTACAGTGAGGCACTGGCCAGGTGAGACTCCATATACGGTACCACCACTTGATGATGCTTTCCCATTGATGATTATGTTACCTAATTTTTAATCCACATAATTATTTTTAATTACCTAACAATTTTGTTTTCTTGTTTTGTACTTTTGATTCTAACGGAAATATCAAGAGCTACCAACTCAAATTTTTCAGAAATGGTATCACCTGAACTCTGTTGCCTTTACCAAGCATATTTACAATCAGAGAAAATAGCTAGCAACTATGGCTCATAAGCAATGGAAAGATGGAATCTACAGAAAAGGGAGATACAGACCATACAAGTAGTAACTACATCCAGCTTTGTGTTCCCAAAAGGGAAAACAGAAATAAGAACAGAAACTCAAGCTAAACAGAAGAGATTCTACTAATTACTTTTCATATAAAGGACTGTAAATGTGCAGAGATGCTATCAGACAGACTTCTTGAGGAAGACATTCTGGGATCATTAAAGGAACTAATAAATATCACTGTAAGTTTAACAATGCAAAATTAAGTTCCCAAATGCCAAATGGCTTTTTTTTTTTTGCAGTTTATTTACTAAATTTGCGTCCTAATGTCCCTTTCCTCCTTCATGTAACAAAACCGATCTCCACAGATTTAACTCTTGATTATATTAGTCATTTTTTGAAAGGAAAAAGATAGGATGGAGGGCTATATCCATATCAGGGGCTGAGCATTCTGGCAATCATCCAGCAAAGCACTTTAGTGCAAGTTCAACTCACAACAAGTTAAGTGACATGAGACTACTCACACGCTTAAAATGAAACACGCTTAAGTGCTTTGCTGGAACAAGCCCAGTGTGTTTAGCATCTAGCTGGATGAACTCCTTTAAGCAGTACTCTGGGAAGTCAAATAAGAAAAGTAACCCTGCTCAAAGTGAATGCAAAGACAGACTGATATCACATCACAAGTTATTTACACAAATGTGCAAAACTCAGGCCTTTAGAGGACAAGTTCCTTTCATTTTCCAAAATAAATGTATTGCTTCCAATTCTAGAAGACGTTTTTTCCCCCTCTGTTCTTTGAAGTTTTTCTGACTGCCTCTTTCTAAAATCAGTGCTATCTTCATCTCTGCTCATGTATTTCTCTCTCCAGTGACAACATACCCAAAGTTGACATATCTCTGTTTCTGTTACATGGGGATACATGGGGAACCTAAGTATCATTAAATATTTTACGAATGCTTTGGGGCCAGACTTTTGTAAAGGTCTATCCACAACAGAATAGTCCATGTCTGAGACACTGTGTTGACAATGCTTTCCAGAAAAGAAAATATTTAATATCAAGGAAAGACCCACAAACCAGCAAACAAAAGCCCATTAAAGCCATAATTACGTTTGATCATACAGATAAACATAAGAGAATGCCAGTATTACGCACTCTGAAGAGGTGCTGCTGTGCACAGCTCAATTCAGTTTTGCTAAATACGGTTACTTTTTCCAGTCCCGCTCTTCTCATATTGTTTCTGCATTCATATTTTATACCTGAGAAGAACTTGAGGAAAATAGAATCTATGCTTCCCTCAGGTCAGGAAATTAATCCAATACGGAAAACACTAATAAGAAACAGTCATTTCAAAGCAAGAGATGATAACACCACCTTTGTTCTCTATTTGGACTAGAGGCCGCTTACTCTTTGACAGAGGAAGCTCATCTGCTTAGGATAGCAGAGAAATGCTGACTTCAAATGTTCAGAAAATCAACTGTAAAAAGTGCCTTAGGTACCAACGGTGTAAGTAAGGCAATATTACGCTCATCTTAATAAGAGGAAAAGGGAGTTCTAGCTGCTAATTCCATAAATCTGTCAATTCATTAAAACAAATTAAATTAAAAAAATTAAATCAGTGTCACTAGATAATCTGCATTTTAATATGTCTCAGGAAAAAAAGAACTTCTTCCCTGTATTGGCTCTGAAAACTGTGCACCTAGAGAAGACACAATATCAGCAGGCAATGGGATGCTAAAAGCTAACTACCTCAATTCGAATTGCACCTTGTCTTTTGCTCCATAGATTTTTATGCTTCCAGAAGTGGTTTATGAAAGCATTTCTGAATGTTTAAGCAGGCAAAACAAAATAACAGAATAGATAATGACTTACCAATTATTATGGGTTGTGGCTCACTTTTTACTCCCACACCTGCACTGGTGCTTGCAGCAACTTCCACGCGGTATTGAATGCCTGGATATAGGCCACCTATTACTACAGAGCGAATGGCTGCATCTACTGTTTTGTTGATATGAAATCGAGTCTCATTACCTAGGCACCAGATCTGGGACAAAAGTTGATATGTTAAAAAATATGAAACTCTTCATACTCATAAACAATAGCACACAGATATGACGTATCAAGGTATTGCATGACAATCACTTATTTTGGTATTTTAGACTTCTTAACAACCTTTCTATTTAGAGGCAGCTGGAATTGGGATGCTTTACCTTAGAAAGCTATCCCAGATTAGCATAAGACCAAGCAAATTGCAAAGACTGCTTGCAAACACTACTCTGGACTCTGGCTCTCCATGGACTGCAAATTCTGTGTCACACTTCTCAGAAGCACAAATCAGAATCATCCAAGTAAAAAAAAGGCATTATACATTAATTGAAATTTTGTACCTTAATATGATTGCCACTAAATCTTTCATAAAAAAATCAATTTTTCCATGCTCATTTTTCCCACTCATCAGCAGAAGGATACCAAATAATATAAGCACGGGTTGAAGTACTTCTTAAAGTAATAGAGAAGAAAAAACTTTCAAAATTCTTTTCAATTTCCTTTCGTGTCATGTACAATTTCTGCAACAGCATAAAGTACCAACCCACTTTTTACTATCGCTGTTGTCATTATTTATATTGTTCAAGAATTTGGATTTCAGTTCCTGACTCATTTACTCTCTAATTCAGCAAACACACAAAAATACTCTATAATCTGAATCAACATTTTGTGATGAGAATGGCATATCATTTCAGAGTGTTTTTATTTCTAGCTCTTGCATTTTTCCATAGGCATTTTCTGAGATGTTTCAGAACTGAAATTTTAAGGATTCTTCTTCAGTTAATGTTATCTGCACATGGTGCTTTTGTATTATTAAAGATGCATTTAGTACCACTCTACTTACAGAAATCAATGCATAAAGATATCACATGTACACTACACAACTATAATAACAGAAGAAAGTACTACTGGTGAAACCACTCTCAGCAACCGACTGATGTGTCTAAGCAACAGTAGTGTTCTCTTTACCGTTATTTTTGATCCTGCTCAGAGTTTTATCATACTCTGTCTTTTTTCTGTGACTCACTGAGGAAGATTTGGAGGACAAAAGAAACTCTCACTTGCCTAACCTCATGTAGGTCTTATCTGCAGGCCAGAAATGGGGTGAGGGACTACGGCAATTCAGTCTTCCTCTCCATGTCTGCTTTGGTCTTAGGTGATAGCAAGTATGAGATAAATTGATAAGCACTTTGACACTTGAAGAGGAAATCAACAGATCTACATTCAACATGGTGAAAATACACTGTGAAACCTCAGAAGTGATTTTATGCTTAAGGAAGTAAGCTTTAGACCCTTCACAATAGCTTCACCATAACCAGCACACTAATCAGGGAGCCATGTAATCTTAACACAGAAGGGAAGAAATAGGTAGTGGTTCCAATTGCTTGTACAGACATCCTAGAGGTTTGAGCACTCTCTTGGAACATGACTTTTATTAGCCATCAGCCCACTTTGCTTGGAATTCACATATTTTGTGGTCTAGGAGTGTGTTTTATGTATTTACTTACAAGCTATTGTGCCATAAGGATTCTCGCCAGCCCTCCAGGTCTTTACCTGGTATGGCATTTTGCAAAAAAAAATAAAGATTCACTAGGATAGAGAGAACAAGAAAGGAAACTGCAAGACGCTGATTCTTCCCTATCAATCAGGAAACTGATTAGGGGAAAGCTGGGTCCTCGTCCTGCTCCATTCACATATTTAATCAATTATTGTTTTAAGTATAAATTTCTCCTGCACCACGAACAGTGTTCTGCAATACTGAAAGTACTGTGGTTATTTCATTTTGTGCAATATTCACTTCTGTAATTGTGTAAGGCACAAGCTAAACTCTTCATGAAGATTTGTACCCAGGTATATCTTGTATGAGGATATTGATAGGGCTCCAGCAGGAGCTGTTATGCTTTAGCAAAACCAAGATAATTCTGGACAGGCAGAGAAGGAGAATTTCTGGCTCTGTGGTGAAAATGCCTGTGGTGCTAGGGAAGGGTTCTGAAGATTTCACTCTTGGACTTAGGCTCCATAATTCCAACTATGTACAACTACAGGTGTCTAAACCACTCAGTAAATCTTGGTCTTTGGTAATTAAGAAAATTTATGCTGTTATGACAATTCCAGTGTTATAACTGCAGATAAGGGAAGATATCCTCCAGATATATGAATTTCAAAATACAGGAATATTATAGTACTTAACTAGAGAAACAACGTACAAACAAGTGATCAAATGTGATTAATATTTCTAAAAATGAGACAAAAATGTGGGTTATGAAGTTATTTTTATTCTTTTAGGTGAATTTGTAATTTTCAAAATCACACCAATGCTTTTCAAATTAATGAGCATACACCTTCTTTTAAAAACCAAATAGCTTACTTAAGTGCATAAACTTTTCAAGTCCATCTTTGAAAACCTTTGTTTCTACCCCAGAGCATGTACAAAAAATGTCCACTAGTGTGGTCATTATGCAACACTTGAACTTCAAAATTTCCTGACTTTGACTACACAGCAATGAAATCATAGTATGCAGTGGACTCAGGTTATTATGGAATTGATGTTTAATATTGACTTCTACTGGAGTTGGTATGAAGATGAATTAAGCCAAAAGATAATTAATAATTGATATGAAAATGAGGTCAACAAAATATTGGGATTAATAAATCTTGATATTGACCAAAAGCAGAACAAAAGAAGTGCTATGCTACACACAAATATTATGAGCATTTACTACATCCCTCTGAACGAGTGATGAACTGTAAGAGGTTGAAACAGGAGTTGGTTTAACAGTCAAGCACAGTTTCTTCGCAAGAAAGAGAAACACCATAAAGTAGCTGCCAATTACAGCTCTCTTCCAGATCAAGCAGAAGGTATTTTTGCTTTTAATAAAACAATAGTACTGCCTAAATGAAAAAAAATCCGTCAGTACTCAGATCTCTTTCTCCATATCATTATATGGGTGGCAATAAACACTGTCAGAATCGATGTCCATAAACAGAGCTATTGTTCTGTAATTCAAGCCGGCTGTTTCTTTAAACTCACATCCCTTCCTTTACACATCCTTTTTACCTTATACTCCTGGATGACTCCATTTTGGTGATCTGGAGGGGGAGGATCCCACGAGATGCTGATGCTTGTGCTGTTGTGGTTTCCAACTGTCAGGACAGTAACAGACTGAGGAGGGGCACTTGGAGCTACACCAAAGAGAGAGAACAAACAGAAGCAAGACATTAATCCACTTGCTAGAGCACGAATTTTGCTGAAACAGTGTAAGAGCAAGCAGAGAATATACAAAGTTCACACTCCCTGCAGGCATAGGTATGCATATTTTGTCAGGCACTGACAATTTTGAAAAATGGCTTTCTAAAGAGAAGCACAGGTCTGAATGAAAAATGCAGAATTTGTGGCCATGGAGAATCAATATAAATCACTCCTCATTTATATATAGAATATTTTGATTTTGCATTGGAATTATTCTCAGGTTTGCATTTGTTTTCTTTAATATGCCTGGTTAGTTATGGATACATCAACTAAGTCCTAATGTGAGGCTGCTTCACCTGTTCTGAAAAGTGTTTTGATTCTTTTTTCCCCACATCATTGTCTAATATGAATGCACAGCAGTAGAAGTTTGAGGACTTTTGCTTGTTTCTTTATTTGTTCTCCAAGAAGACATTAACTTAGGAGATTTAAACATAAGACCTTGTAACTCCTAGGCATAAAAAAGTTGAGGCATTCAGGGCTTTACACCAAATCCCAGTGAACAGGGGAGATGATAAGCTGGGTCAGATAGACAGATATTTATGGCCTCTTTTCCCTTGGCAAGTCTTCCTTTCTCTTTAAAGTCCACTTCTACCACCCACAGCTGTCTTGCTGGTCACTGCAAGGCCAGACCCATACCGCAAAGCTTTGCCAGCACAGCTACACTGGCTGGAAGCCTGAAAAAACCCCACAGACGTTAGTGATTAGAGCTATGCTGGCAAAGTCCCTCTTGCAGTGACACCAACAGCAGGGTACTTTCATCGGCCGAGAACATGTTTGGGAAGCTGTGTAACAGCACAGCACTAATAATGAAAAAAAATAGTCCCCTCTGTGAGCATCTGCTGCATCTCCACGCAGGGGCTCTCCCATCAAAGCTATAGCTGCCAGAGCTATAGGTTTGTGGCACACATGCTGCCTCAGCCACTTCAGGGTATTAACATGCTTCTTCAGGGTATTAAAATGCTTTGAGGTCTCTTCCACTACACTTCTAGACTAGGGACTAGCAACTCGAAACTGTTGGTGACTTAGCTTGCCACTGTGGCAAAGTCAAGTGTCATCTTAATATCTTAAGAATGTCCCCGGGGAAAAAAAAAATTAATAAAAACAGCTGGACTGAACTGGACCTAGGATCTGTGTAGTCCATCCATCCCAGTCCATCTATCTAGTCTTCAATAAAACCAACAGACAAAGGCTAGGACGCTGCAGACTAATAAGGAAATCATATAGTGATACCCCTCCAGGACACTTTCCTAAATCCCAGCAAGCTGTTACTCAGAGACTTTCTCATCCAGGATGATATCTTTATGTCTAATACCTCTTCCTAGATTTTTTACTCTATGTATTCATCATTGCTTTTACTATAATCTTAAAATATTTCTAACATGAAATATGCAACCTTATTTTAAAGAACTGTAGTAGACCTTGAAAGAGAACCTAAAACATTTACCACCCTCTCCCCAACTTCAAAACTAATTCAATAGCCCTCTGGTTCTCACATCTCACACTGTGGGTCACGGCTTTCTGACATCAATCCCTTAGTGTAGAGTATTCCCATCCACAGAGGACCGTTTAATCGCCAAGACTCCAGTCTTATCTTTAGTAGGTGTCCCAATTGCATGAACATCCTTGGACCATGCTTCTCCAAAAAGTAAACCAAGAATCAGTGGCATCTTTGTACTAATGTGTGGCAGGTTTAACACAACTAAAGGCAGCCACAGATACCAGGAGTACTCAAGTTTCCCAAGTCTTTCCAGATTTCCTCATTTTTCTCTGTGGCCTCTTTGAGACTGAATATGTTCCCACCACTTTGGATGCTTCTCAGTACTTAAGCTGGCACAGGCATGAGGATCTGAGCTCAAATCCTCTGATAACCTTGAAGAGTCAGAATTGCCTGTTGCAGTAAGTATACAATTTAAAATCAAGCTGAGGGGGGGAAATGGACCTACAACACTACCTAAGAAAAAATATTTTGGGGAAGTCATTCATACATGAATGACTGCCCTGTAAGGCTGCACACTCTGACAGCAACATTTTCAGAGGCGGGTTCAGTTGAAAAGCAAATAGTGCTAGGTAGAGTCCTCGTAAACTTGGATGATGCAGAGAAGCAGTGCACTGGAGGGAAGAAATGGAGCTCTATTGTAGGCAGTTTGACTCAGCCAGGCCAAGGGAAGAACAGAAAGGTGGCCTCTGGCTATTCCTTGCAATTGTGCAAAGCACAAAATTGCTGAAGTTAATGGTTGGATTGTGTATTTTATGGCAAGTGAAACAATTTGCCACGTAGTAAAAAAAAAAAATTAGTGTTTTAAAAATTCTTCAAGTTATTCAATAACAACAAAATCATGAATAAATGTATGTATGAGTGCTGTATTCATTAAAATAACATTTTATAATAAAATAATAGTCATAAAATGGCAAAGCTTAATGCTGTGCAAACCAAACTCATTTTTAAATAATAGGAAATATCTTGTGGAAATGTATTTACTTTCATCCTTACACGGAAACACAAAGGGCACTCAGAAATATAATTTCTTATATACATATACTTAGAGAGAGGGAAAGTGCAAGAGTGAGCAGGGTAAATGCTAAGGAATATGTAAAATGAACTGTTTAATCTAATAGTTAAAGAAAAACACACTGTACTCATTTGTCTTTGCATTTAATCTGCACAAATATTTTAGTTAACATTCTACCAATGTGTCTTTTTGCTTCTAGGAGGATACAGGGTAATTTTGAAGTGCCATTAAAATTGCAACTGATGAAGGCAGCTGAAAGTCTCGTTTTCAGCACTAAAGCAAGCAGGAATTGACAGACAGAAACTGATGAAAACTAGAGAGACCTCCATTATTTACCATCACATTTTGGCATATCAGTGACAAACAATATAGAGAAAAAATAACTATTCCACAAAGTTATTCCAAAAGAGATTTAAAATAGTGGACGTAACTGAAGAAATTGTCATCTGTCTTTAGAGAAACTGTGAACGTAAACAAGAAGTGAAAATTATCAAATAAAATATTCTATTTAGCTCTTTCTTTGTATGTGTAGACACATATGTGTATATAACAGTTCTGCCTCCTCTCTCTATGATAATATCACCCTGTAAGCTGGCACCATGATATAAATTAAGCCACTTGTCTGACACCGCTTGCAGTTATTAAATAGACTACATTGAAAAATAACATTTTTAAAACTGTTTTCTCATTTCCCCTGCTGCTGGCTTGTGGAGAACACCTTGCCTGCTTCTTGACAGGTCAATTATTCCAGCGCTCAGCTTCTTCTTACAGATATGAAAGAACCCAAATCGCTGCTCATCTTTTCCAGACGCAGTCAAACAGAATTCCATTTGTTAGCTTCACAAGGCCAAAGAGGTAGGAGATGAATGGATACTGAATTGTGACAAATGTCGGATGTAGGGGAGAAGTCCAACTGCAGCCAAATTGATTTTTGGAGGTAGGTCTCAGAAGTAACATTCCATGTAAAAATCAATACAGCAAAAAGCTGCTACTACTTCTAGGCTGTACTTTGCCTTTACCAGGGTTATTCGCTTTGAGGTTGCAAAAGACTTCCAACACTCATATCACCCTTCCAAATTATTTTCTAAAAAAAGCATAACTGACATTTAAAAAACGTCAATCTAAAAAAGCTCATCTTCAAAATGGAACCATAGGCTAAACAGTAAGTGTTATGCACCTTTATGAAAACTGACATTTTCCGTTACAGGATGGGAAGTAAACCTCATTCATTACACATTTGGGTGACGGTATTTTTGAAAATGTATCAACACCAATATAATCACAAAGATAATGTAAGGAATTAAAGGAAAAATCCGTAGAACTGCATCTAAGAAATTTCTTAATTTTCTCATGGAGGTACTTAACTTTATCACTCAAAAAAGAGGAATAATTATTTACAAGGGCTGACTTCTGATGGCTGATAATACTACATGTTACAGGTGTCTGCTTTATTGAAAAAAGACACTTGTAAACAGACTAGTTGAAGGTTGTATTCATCTACCAAGCAGATCATAGACTGTGATTTACACATATCTGCAGGCAAGAAAATTTTCAAAAATCTTCACTATATAGAAAGTTATTCCACATTAAGAAAGTGGCCGTTAAAGAAGGATAGTACCTGACAGGCTTTGCTAGGAGATGAGAGTTATGAAAGAAGATGTCACTCCCCAAGTGTTTTATGGATATAGACTGGAGGTACAAAATCTTCTCTTTTTCAGTAGTTCTTAATCTACTTTTAGGAGGGGACAGTTAGATGAACTAAACAAACAATGAAATTGAAAATGGACAAGAATAAAATCTCCTAGGGAGGGGGAAAAATTTTTAACTTTAGAAAAGCAATTTCTCCTGTAGAAAGCTTTTTTTCAATTTTCTTTCTTTCTTTTTTTTAAAGCTTTGTTCAGACTGCTGCAAAGCTATTCTTTAATGACTAATTTAGGCTTTATAGTCTGAACAAAGAAATGGGAACCAGAAAGTCCCAAATTCCAATCCGGACTGAACAGCAGCTTTCTACATGCTTTTATACAAGTTGCAGGACACTGAATTTCCTCATCTATAAAGCAGAGATAACAACCAAGCTATATACATAGTTACTTGCTTGTTGGGCAATAATCAAAACAAATCAAAGTGAAAAGTGAGCAATAAGCAAGTTTATTCTACAATTAAAAAGTACTTGACAATCAGCACTGACTGACTTCTACTACCTACCATTGTAAATCATTAAGATTGTATCTTCAATAGGAAGGAAAGAGCGCACTCAAAACCTACCAAAAGTATACGAGAGTATTTTGAAACTTCACCAGTGTTTCTCTCCCATGGTTTGAAAGAAATCAATGAAACAGCCACAAGACGAACCCTCACTGTTAAAATCATCCTTTTACTTTTATAGCAGAGACGCTGATGATGGTTCAGACTCTCTGGGAATGGTTTGGATTATATAGATAGGTATGTTTCTTATACACTTCTAAGAGAGAAAGACAAACATTATTTATACCTTCCTTCACTTTCTTTGCTTTTCAATAAAAAACAGCCGTGGAGAGCATATGTCTAAGCAAAATAATACATCCATGCTACATGCTATAGAAATGATTGTTTCTGCATTTCAGTGGTGTAAAATGTTTACTATATCTGCACGTAGCATGTTTTGGTGTAGGCTTGAAAGGTACTTGAAGAAACTGATCTAACTCTCTGAAGGACTAAGCAGGGCCATTTCATGAATGGTGCACTAAGAGAAATAGTAGAGTAGAATGCCCTTGAGACTGGAGTTCTCTCAGAATAGCAAAAAATTTGTCTTTCACTCGTCCTCATTTCCTAACCAAGCTGTTCATCTATGTTACTGCCCATTCAGAAAGATTAGCTTATTTCTAAACACTCATCTGAAAAAATTTCATTTATTAGTTTTATTTTCAAAGTCCAGAGCAAAATCCTTCACTGCAGCAACACTGATTATAAAAGAATGGCTGCTGCACAGACTTTTTGGAAGACCTAAAGCCACTCTTCACACATAACGAGCAGGTATCAGCCAGAAGACTTTGAGACTGGCCGAGTGCTTGTCCTAGAATATTTATACCACAAAACTGACTATTAAGTTAAATTCTAATGCCAATTCTGTATTTAACAAACAGAAATCATGTGAAAGAAATATAGTCGAACAAAAGCATACACAAGATAACCAAAACAATCACTCCTGATTTCACTTCTAGTGCTAGATGTGTAAGTCCGTTACTTCTTCTGACCATTTTACTAACCTTCTTCAGTGGTACGGGCAGACTTTGATTCACTGTCCATGCCTTGGAATTCGTTGAAATAAGGGCGAACTTTAATTTCATAAGTGACCCCTTTTTTCAAGTTGACCAAGACAGCGCTGCGCTCAGTTGGGACTTTGACCTCCAAATTCTGCCAGATAGCTGGAGAAGGCAGGCCAGATGTTTGGCGATACATTACTCGATAGCCCTGAATAAACTGGGACTGGCGATCAACCTAGAAAAGGCATTAAATAATATGTCAATAAGCAAAGTAATTAAACCACATAAAAAGAAAACAAAACATTTACCTAGAATATTTATGTCCTTATGAAAAAGAGTAAATAAACTGTTGAATTTAAAAATCAACCTGCCTTCTTGTAAGTCACTTTGTATTAAATTTCTCTAAATGAACATTTTTCTCATATTATTTGTTATACGACATTTTTTCCTATTTTACTCTCTCCAGTTACATATAATGACAAATACCATCTTAAAGCATAAAACAAACCCTCATCCCTCCAAAAAATCATAAAAAGAGAATTTTGGCATAAGGCTTACTGCATGTAAATCTATTAAGGACATGTTGGCTACTGATGTGCTGAAATATGAGAAGGAAAGAAAAACAAATTATTTTCAGAAAAGGACAAGTCTTTGAAGATGCCTTATATGCTTTCAGTTAATCCATTACTTGGCTTACAGCTCATCTTTTCATAAGACGCTCAGGAAAGTAAAATAAACACGCGACAGATGCAGAGAAAACAACATCCAAGGACATGTGCTGTTCCCTGTGCTCACAGTCTAAGCAGCCTATTTGCATCCTGGGACTGTGATGCACTCCTGCCATCAGATGGGGGTGGAACGCTCTTTCTTTTTATATTACTTGTTGCTATGCAGAGATACTTCAAGACTCAGATTACATATAAAAGTAAGTTTAACAATTCTAACCTATCATAGCTATAAACAGGATTTTAATTTCAAGGATAAGCTTATAATACATTTTATCTTGGAAAACTGCATGCATTTTTCCCCTTGGAAAAAAAGAAAAAGAATGAAAAAAATAATGATTTGAGCTACTGTGATGTTTGCATGAATTTGCAGTTCAATCTTGAAAAAATAGTCAAAACTATTTGATAGATCAAACCAAACCAAACCCAGCTGCTTTAGTAGCCGTCAAATAAGGAGCCAAAGAAGATGCAATACAAATAGCTATATAAACGGCTGTTTGATAATTCCTGTATTACAGCTAAGATTCAACAAATAAGATTTTTTTCTATTCTTGAAAATTTGCTAGCTCAAAGACAATTCAGAATTAGAGATATGCTTGCTTGAGCTTTCTTAAGAATAAATGGATTTAAGACTGAAAACAAAAACCAAGGTCTATTCCACTTTTCCTGTAACCTTGTTATACAGTTTATTGAGTCATTTAGAGGGGACCCAGATTCTTAAGACATTAAAAAGCATGGCAAACAAGAAGAAAGCTTTATTTATGAGAGCAAAGTAGAAATGTCTTTCATCAAAACTGTCAGTTAAAAACCTTGCAACATATGTTACAACAACATTAAGCTTGCATTTTATAAACTTCTCTACATTCACTTTAAGTGAATTTATGCACTGAAAGAGGGATATAACTCACAATAATAGCTTGTTAATACCGAAAGAATCAAGCTGTGTTTTTAAGAAGAACATTAAGCAGCTGTTTCCAGATGAAGGGAGTCCGTAAATCAGAGTAAATTGTTTTTATCCACGTTTGACTTTCATTAATTAAATGTTTTATGGACGTAAAGACTTTATGAATCTCATGTTCAGTACAAAATTCAGTGAGAATTCTTTCCTAAACTTTGTAATACAGAATTTCAGCCTAAATTGTATATATGGCTATGATGTTTAATAATCACAGTCTGACTTCTACCTAACTTGTGAGAAAGACAGAGTAACTTCTTTACAACTTTCCATTCTGTATTTGCTGCAGTTTTAAGATCACTGCTGTCAAGTGGAGGACATCTGAAAATTTCAAGTTGACTAAGCTGAACAAGCACCATGCGTAGCTACAAAAGGGGATGGAAAATGTTTCGTATGATAGGAAACACAACTGCTAACTCAATGAGAACTGTACTACTGGCCAGAAGTGCCATAAAGCTTTTTGAGGAGAAACCACTGTTCATGTTCAGGACTTGATCTGTGCTATTTGACACGGGTTCTGATACACGCACGGTACTGATACCTACAGCATGCTAGTTTTTGATCACATTCTCACATGTATTTACACGTATCTGACACACCGCTTATTCATCCAACTCCTTTTTCTCCTCCTTCTTTAAGTCCCTGGCCTAAAAGACTAAGCAATGCACAGGATATGAACATGGAAAGCGGTAGTACAACAAGGTTGTCATTCACAGCATTGCTGCTGTAAATGATCTTGTTCTGAGGCCCATTCAAGTTTTACAGTGCTTTCAATTAAAAGTTTGATTGAAACAGGGCCAGATGATCTGCCAGAAACTCAGAGAATTGACAATGATTCAGTTGTCCAGGATCTAGGAGGGAATGTACAAAGGAAAATACCATATATTTTTAAGACTTGTTTAAACAGTCAGTCTTAGTTGATATCAAACAGAAATTACTAGGCTGTCTCTCATAGCTATGTCTAGCTAGTCTGAATAGACAGGGCCTTCCTTATGGTCAAAATGTTGGGAAGCTACTGAAAGGACACCTCACTCACTGAGCAGGGTGGATTTTTTTGCTTTGTTGGAGTTTTCTCATTAGCATAAAATGCATTTTTCTTGGATTATTACACGGATTAACCGGGAATATCTATGAGGTATAAGACAGGTTTATTTCATATATATTTGAACACACAGAACAAAGCTCGTGACTCCAGTCTTTTTTCTCTTCGTTATGTGGCAATTATGTGTCATTCCTTTGGTAGGCCACCAGAAATACACTTTGTGTTAAAGAACTTTATTCGGTTGTGCTAAGCCATCAGATAACTCTGTTGGTTTGGTCCTCATTCACATATAGATAGGTAGGGCTGCAGAAGCGGGCACAATCATTGGATGAAAGAATATAATAATTTCTAGGTATAGAAGAGCTCTTCCCCTTCCTCTTTTCTTGTAAATGGCTACCACTTCCTCTTACAAAATACTAAGTATTATCACAGAAATGAGGAGTTCTCTGTGCTAAATATTAAGATCAGAGACTATTCACACAAGCAGCAGTCTTTCTCTCACTCTCTCTCTCTTAATATACAGTAAGGGAGGTATCTATAAAACCTATGATAGCTCTCCATTTCTGGCAGAACAGGAAACTTTTTCCCAATATGTTAAAATCTGTGCATATCACATCTGAATATAAGATAGGTTTGATAACTGTTAGAGCATTCCGTTAAGCTATTCAGTTGTTAAAAAGATCGCACAAGAAACTCTTAATGCAGCTTATGCTGCAAATATAAGCTGGCTTCCAGCAAAGCTGCTAACCTGCACTCTGAAGACATTTTGCAATATGCTCTTTAATATGTAAATTTCTATCCCAAAATATCCTAAGTAAAACTCTACTCCCACAGCAATACCCACAGCCATTCTCCCTCTGGGCAGAATACTTTGTACACTGTGCTGAACTCACTAGTACGGACTTGCCATAATCTCTGGAAGAGCAAACAGCCCTCGTCTTTATTTGTCTACAGGGGCCAAACAAAGGGTGATGACACAGCAGAAAACTGTCCAAAGGGCATGACTCTTAAAGCTTCCAGTGAAGCATATTCATTTAAACTCCATGGCAAATTAAAAGACAGAGTCAAATAAATTCTCTCTCTGTCTGGTAGTCTCAGAATTTCTGGTAGACAGTCAGGATTTCAAAGCAACAGAAACATGCTAGACTGGAGAAAAGCATCATAGAGAAGTAATGGATAATGAGGAGACAGAGGAGAAATGGGACACTCCGAGAGCATAATGGACCTGTATGGTTAGTGAATGCATCATGGAGCAACATAATAGCAGGAGAGAACCCAAATAAGCTGGATTCAAACTAAGTCAAAATATTTGACAAATCTGTACCGTAAGTGACAAAAGGCATGGGCTAGATGTAGCTAAACTTGGTGATAAACTCCAGACATGGTGGGAATCACTGTCCTCTCCAGTTAGGTACAAGCAGAGACTATCACCTCTATGACTATGGCAACTAGGTTGGAAGGCAACTAGTCAATTGTTGCAGGGGACTGTAAGGAGAAAAGGTTTCATGGCTATGGCAATTATTTCCCACATCGAGGAAGGGGACTTTATTCGTGCTTATGCCACAGAGCTCCTCTCTAACGCTAGGGAAGTTTTCACATTTGGTCACCAATTGAACTCTTGTTTTTCTTAGCGTGTGAGAAAACTAGGACTAGAAATGGTGAACTGCAGCTGAAGTCAGGTGGAAAAATGCTTTGAGCATATGGTATGTTGTAGCAATGCTAAATCTTTGATAAAAATAAAAATAAATCAGGCCTAAGGTTTCAAATTAGGTACTTGATAACAGTGAGCATATCTGATCCAGTAAGTCTCATCAGCATCAAATATCTCTGTACTTCAACCTCCCTATGGGTAAAGTTAGGATAATGATACTTTTTTATTATTGCGACAATAAGTTCAGTATTATTTGTGAAACATTCAAATGCTATGGTTGAGAGCATGACAGATAAGCCTGTGAGACAAACTAATAATTTTTTATTCAATGGAAGGTTTCAATGGTATGAATTAAATAAGACCTGGCAATTCAATTGGCAGCGCATAAAGAAGATAAAAAGAAAAGTTGAATAGCTCCATGAAGAAAAGATCCCATGGAAAAAAAATATAGTATGTGGCCACATAATTACAGCTGTACTTTAATATTTATGCAAAAGAGGGATACATTAGGGGAATGTGAAAATCTAACTTCTGACATTCCTCCAAGTTTTTTAAACACTGACATTGTAAGTCTGACATTCTCTTAAGACAGACAAAATGTGTGCGTGCATGTGTATTTTATTTCAAAATAGTCTAAAATTGTAGCAGAGAATTTTTTCTAGGATTTTAAATTCAAATTTGGAAAAAATGAAGGCAAAAGAAAAAAAAAAATTCAGAAAGAAGGGAGAAGCTGGTGCTGACCTGCTGGGAGTCAGAATGCCAGAATCTGAAAAGCAGAAGGGCAAAAAAAGGAGTTTTATGACTTTTACTTTACCTTTGTCCTTTTGTATGTTACCTACACTAGCAAATCTATCTATATTAATAGTGAAGACTTTATTCTCTGGATAGAGTGGTTGTTTTCCTACAGACTATGGTTAATTAATTGGCTTTGCTCTGCTTGCTGGAAATGTTCTAATTAGCTATTCTAGGGATCTTTTTTGCTGTCTTTCTTCCCTTGGCCACTCCCGAAACGTCTTTGCAGCTGTTATCTATAACATACATAAGAATTTACCTTTTTCTTACCATGTTTTCCTTGCTCATTACTAGTTCAGTAGGATCACCAAGAGACTCTTCAACCACAGTTTTTTTATAATGATGTGGGTTGCAATAAGTAAAACTGAGTTCCATTTATGTTAGGGCTTCCTTTTGCAGGATATGATAAAGCCAGGGCAAACCTATAAAAAAGTATTTCTGATAGGTGCCACACCCAAGAAAGGACTTGAAGGAGCACCCCATGTATGTGATCCACGTCTGCAATTTGTGACTGTTAACTTTCAAAGTTTCTCAACTATTGACCCACTTGCTTGGAAAAAAAAAAGGTTTGCTGCAAAGGTGCCTGAGTGAGAAAGTCAGTCTGTCCAGGAGTTTTTTAGCTGAAGCAGAGAGCATTTTTAGAAAGGCTGTGTTAACATCATCAATAGCAAGATGCAACGACATGTTTTCTAAATAATCTTCTAAGAAAGGCAAATTTGTGGGTTCCTCAAATTATTCTCATCTCGTCCCCTTACCACTGAAATCTATTAGAACAAGGAGGAAGCATAAGCCCTGGTAAATATGGCTGGGTTGTGCAAAACCAGCTCTAATCTCTTCACTACAGTCCCCCTCCCCTCAACACACACACATCTCTTAACTCGTCTTCTATAGTATAAATCCCCTGTACACATTTATCTCTTAGCAATACTACATGTATAAGACAAACCCTGAATATTATGAATATCCCTGTAAGGCAATTCATCCTATATAATGCAGTAGTTTCAGTGCTTGTTCACCGCAGTACTATTTAGCTCCCTCTTTCACCCATTGGTTTCCTTCCTCTGGATTAAATGCCCCAAGAGCAAAGCAGTCATTTGTGGTGTGTAGTGCCGCCCTAGGAATGCTCTCCTTCTATGGTTACAAATCCTTTCCTTCAAGCCTCAGGGATGGAAACATAGCATTTTGAAAGCCGGATACTATATACTGAGTCCTCAGAAACTCTACCCAGTAGTTTGACCCCTCAAATAGAAATGCTGTTAAGTACTACCAAAAAAGATTCTAGTCTTCTATAATCAAAGGCTATCCCCTTAGCAGGGATGAGGCTTATGCTAGAAAACCAGATGTTATACAGTGGACCAGCCATCAGCAACATGTGCCTCTGTCTTTTTTACAAGTGCCCTTTGGGAAAATTATTTTTGCATTTTAGGGTCACCAAACAATGGGTTATTGTCAGAGGTCCCTATGCCTTAAACTGGAAAGCAATTTTTCATACAGCAATTTCATGTTGATATTTAACTTTGATCATTTTCTGGACATGTACCGTAATGAGGCCACTGATCAAATATCCTTTACATTATGATGTTAATCACATTCATTTTTATAATATTTTCCCTTGTCTATCAGTTAGCTCACTTTAAGCTGAACACTGAAGACTTTGAACGTGCCCAGCTTGAAGGAGAAAATAAAAATACCATTTCATTGACACATATGCAGGGCTGTATAGTGCTAGTTTATCAGAGCATTCACATTGAAGTAAACACCGGAGCTTTTTAGGGTAGAAAAAGAATGTAGGGACAAGTAGGCAAAATTAAAGTAATGTTAAGGTAATTATAAAAGAAGCCTTACTGTCCAGGTGACTTGAACTGTTGTGGGTGTCAGCACAACAGGATTATGCAGTCGTACAATGACGTCTCCCAGTTCTTTCTGGACTTGCCTGTGATCCACACCTTGTGCTGGTGGGCTGATATCTGCCAGGACAAGCACACAAATGAAAGCATTATTTTAATGAGAAGAGTTATATAGGGCGTTAATTAGAAAGATCGAATGGCTTAATGATGTGATTTAAACATCTTAATATGGTGATGTTTTTAAAATAATACAGTGCTAAGATTAAAATACAAACTACAAAGCACATCATGTATTTGCAAAACACCATTCACTTTTAACTGCTTAGGAAATTATGAAATATAAAGTTGTTTAAATGAGTGTTTGGACTCGATGGCAAAGTTTTCTCAGATCTCGCAAGTGATGAGAGAGGTGCAATATTCACTAGTCCGAAAATATTCAGATAATAATAACATTGTCCAGATGTCTGGAACCACACTGGTTAGTATAACTGAAGAAAATGAACAGTGTTTTATTCTCTTAGAACACACATGATATTAAGTCATTATATGTTTCCAAACTTTCACTGAACCCCCTCCTCATACCATAGAAACATGAAACCAACAAGTAACACTAAATACAGTTTTTTCTTCTGCAATGTGTATTTTCCTTTACAGATATAGACAATGAAGTCTAGTGCAAATATGAACAAAAGAATTAATTTATGAAGCTAAACTGTTTCTGATCTCATAAAAGGCCAACAAAAACACTTTACCATAAAAATTTTCTCATCAAGATTATTTCAAAGACTCTTTTCAAAGCAGAGGAAAACTTATTTAATCTCGCCAAGACCCAAAGGATTTTAATGACTTAGTATATGTTCACCAAAAACTGTGACTCCATCTCCAGCACCTCATTTGAGTCTAGTACCTAGTTCTTAGAGACCCATTTGAGCTATGCCCTTGGGTTAAACAGAATGAAGCTATATTACCTTTGCTAGAGAGGGGCTGTAAATATAAAGCATATGTTAAAAAAGTGAGGAGAAGATGTACAATGGGAATTTCTTTACCATGTCTTTTTAGCAATAGTTTCCAGAGATGGTGTCCCTTCTGCTACACTGCGCTAAAGGGAGGCAGTTGGGCTACGACCATCACCTGTTTAATACATCACCATAGTATGTCCCTTCCCTCCACCTTAAATACAAATGAAGGTGCTCTCTAGGAGCCAGGGACGTCTGGGCTCCAAGGAACTGCCGTTCTTGGTCAAGAGTTACAGCCGACTTACTAACTATGTCAACTGACTATCCATGGAGTACATAATGGCTGTTAGAAATACACACACAGCTGCTGGAAGCTGCCTGTGATTTGTCCAGAAGAGCGGGATTTGGAACATGAGAGTGGATTACGTTCGGAAAGGCTGGATGCACTATGGCCAGGCCTCTCTAGGCATCTGTGAATTCTGCTTGGCTTTCCAATGGGATTCACTAGGTAAAACCATTTTCTGTCTTTTTGGATCAACTCCCTGTGCATGTGAAGGGCAAACATAAATAAGACAAAAGAGTTTTTTTTCTCTCCTATGGCTTTAGGTATTTAGTATGAGACTTTTTTTTTTGTCTTCTAAAGATTATTAAGAAGAAGAAATAATAATGCTCTTAAAAATTTAAAAAAACAAATATAACAGCTATATTTGTATCACATGCCTCTGGGTTTTGAAAGAAACCTGTTTTTGACAATCAGTATTTCAGCCTCATATTTCAGGTTTTTTTATGGATTCTGAGAGACGAAACAAACAATATTCACATAGGCTTCTACTGATGTTCAAATGAGTAAAATGGCTCCATGGATCTCCAAAGGGAATATAATCCAAATAAATAAGGGTAAGTCAGCAACAGTGAAGTAGCTTGTCTTATAAATTATGCCTACTGAATGCTACTGAGAAAGAAACAAAGAAGTAATACAGTAACTCTGTAACAGAGCAACTCAGACTGGTTTACCGAATGATAATTTATGCTGCTATCCACAAAAAACTTTCATCCTTGATATAAAATACCTATAGCTACCCATGACTACATTTTAGGCAAAGTTATCCTATGGTATACAATCAACAATGAATTTAAATCCTCCTAAGGAAAAAGATATTTCTACATAATGTATTTGTATGAACAGTATTTTATCATTTTAATGGGGAAAATGTCCATAAATAAGGAAATAATTTGGGCTAATTACAATGAGAAATTAGTATCAATATGTATATGTGGAATTCTGCTTCTAGCTATGTACACTTGGAAACATACACATATATAATGCTCACAGTGTAACGTTTTGCAATGAGATCTTTGCGTTACTATGAGATTCCTGGTGGGGAAGCTCTTGATTCCATGACTAAGTTGATGCCCAAGTGCTTGAATATTAAAATCATGACCCTAAGCTAGGCAAATTAGCTTAGGAAGCAATATTCTGGTCACAGTTAAGAGGTCTATAAAATTAAATTAGTTACATATTTTTTCTAATCTCTCTTTTAATAGCTTCCAATGAACTTCTTATTAGTTGCTAGCAATTTAAATTTTAGGGCTATAGTATAGTTTGTATATAATATATTTTACAGCAAAAATATATTTTTAATGTATGGTTTGGCCTGTTAATAATCCAACAAAGCAACCAGCTCTTTTCTTAGAGGAATTACTGATATATCTGTTCTTAGTTGATGTAAGCCACTTACAGCAAACTTTTTGAAAATGCTTGATGGTCTACTTGTAGTCCATCTACTGAAAATGTGCTCAGTATCCTATTACTTTTGCTTGCTATATTTGATAATAGGAAATCAAATGTTCAGATATTGAAGTCAGCACAGACACCTGTTGTGAATTAACATTATACATCACTGTAAAGCTACTTCTTCCTTCCTCAGTGGCCACTGTGAATAGGCTTTCTACTGTGTGTCAGCTTCCTCTGTGAGCCTGAATTCAATTCAGGCATAATTAGAAATCACATCAAAACATTATGTTAATTTTCAATTGATTTTACGATTTAATCCTATTAAACTGGAAGTTACCAAAGAAGCTATAAATCCTGAACCTGTTTCAGTGTGCTTGACTGCTAAACAGCTTCTGGAAATGGAAGCTGCAACACATGCTGTAGCTAATTAAAAGACATGTTTTTACGGAAATCAAATTTCTTGTCAGTGTGTCAGATACAAAGTCCATACTTGACACTTAAAGGCTAAACTAAGTTGCCTTTTTTTAACTAGTTGATAAGCCTTGCAGACTAAACGCTGGTGCAGTGAAAAGCATATGTCACCCTATAATGCTGGGAGAGTGAGAAAGAGAAGAAAACTTGTGACACTCCATAGAGTCAAGTCAGGAAACCTTCTTCATTCCTCCCCAGCTCAGCATTTCAGAATCAGCATTGCTGCTTCTCCTTTAACAGCAATGATTATTATTTTGGGGGTAACTTCTAGAGCTAGATTATTCGGGAGTAGATTGGGATGAGGAAAATGTATGAGAGAGGTTGTATACATGATGGTTATGTGAGGAAGGAATACAATCCTACTGTCTCTTCTCTTCTTTCATCTAGACTGCAGAGGACCCTCTTCTGTTAGCACATGCTGGAAGCTGATACAGAATGCAAATGGTCTCTACACACACCTTTCTAACCTCCACAAAAGGGGGCAGGTGATCTTATTGTAAATTAATTGCAGGAGGAGCTATTATTATGGAGTAGAAAAATTATGATTCCAAAAAAAGGTTAATTCCTGTATTCCAACCTGTTTAATGCATAACTACGCTCTGGAATGAAGAATTCAGGCAATGTGTTGTCAAAGCCAAAAAAAACCCATGCTGTGAAGAGAAATTTGTTCGTGGCAGCTACATTCAGCTAGAGTTGGGTGTAATGAGAACAGAATTTAACAGTCATCAAACCCTCTCCGCATACAGGCGAGAGAGGATCAGAGCTATCAATTATATCACCATTCTACAAATGAGAGATTTCATTTCAGCCTTCCCTCTTGGTTCAATATTCAGTGGATTAATATAAAGAACTCAGAAAGCTATTTAAAAATATAAATATATAAATATATTCATGTATATAAATAGAAGACCTATATTTTATTCAAAATAACTTAAAAATATTCTCAGTATGCAGATTATACCAATTCTTTGTGCAAATGTTCGACCAGATCAATCAACACATTATGGATACTTAATGCTATTCTGCTGACTAAAACTAATGTTAAACATGGTGTTTGTCTGTTGTAAGCATACAGCACTTATTATGATAGCATATCCCAATTATAATAGCGGAGAACTAAGGACACAGAGAGAAAGTAATGACTAGACCAGTAAAGATACTGAGGATATAATAAAAGAAAGAGCATGGTATTCACCACATTTTTTAGAAAAGCTTGAGTGCCTAACTCACATTATTTTAACAGAAATTGGGTGTCAAGCAGCACAACAACACTAAGTAACTTGCAAACTGTCAACTAAAATGTCTAGCATGTTCCAAGGCATTAAAGAACGAATCCATCTTTCCTAAGCTCCAGATGATACAGCAATCATTGGAGTATTTTTCATCTTTATTGGTAAAGCTGGATTCCTCCAGTCAAAATTGCATGATTCCTTCAGTCAGAATGCTAAAGCAAAATGGCCAGACTGACCTACTGTTCAACTCCTAGTTCCTTTTTTCTATTTTATCATCTCAAGCATGTAAGTCATTAATTAATATTACCTTGTGTTCGGACAGGATCTGACATAGGGCTGGGATCACTCAGACCTTGTGAATTGATAGCTCTCACCATAAACAGGTAGATGGTATTGGGGCGCAGTCCTCTCACAGTGTAGAGGGTAGTCTTGACGTGGTTAGCCACTGTTTGCCAACTATTGCTCACAGATTGACTGCAATGAGAAGAGCTGAGGATTAGATTAATGCAAGAGAAATAGAGAAGTGAAGAAAGGTCTACTTTGTAATAATCCTGTATCAAGATTAACTACAGGGAGAAGTAGCAAAAGCAGGATAAAACTAAGAAGATTTGTTAGTTTCAGTTAATTCATCAAGGGGGAAGAAAAAAAACAACAGAGGTAAAAGTATTTTAAACAGAAGCAAAAGCTTTTGCTAATAAATTACGTCCCACTAAAATAAATACCTGCAAAAGGAAAAAGTGTGGGAAGCACAAAAGTAAATTTGAAAGATAAATTGGCCACTCCTGAACATAAATCTTTGAAAAGAATAAACCTGTTAGAAGAATAATTTTCTATACTGCTGAGTAAATTATGTCAATAAATTGTCTTGCCAGAAGAAGGGAATTCTCCTTGAAGTAAATCCATATTCAAAATTATAAAAGAACCTTCTGAAAACATGCTTATAAATGAAGGAAAGCGTATGAATATTTTTTCTGTCGCTAAATTTTCAGTTGGACAGTATTATAGATTACAACCTGCTATATGAAGAGATTTCAACTGTAATTGTTACAACAGCTTTTAATTGAAATGCATGGCTTTTGTTAAAGTCATTATGGAATGTCACTAAAGTTTATCTAAGGTTACATATCACAAAAGGTTAAAGAGAAAATTTGATTTTATTGTAGTTTATTGTATAGCATTTATAAAAAAATCTTTACATGCATTAACTGAGAAAAGAAAATAGAGAGCTCCTAGCTTCTTTTTTTTTTCAATTGTTTCATTCATTTAATGCATAAAGGATAGCACAAGTTCTGGAACAAAACCACTAATCTGGACATTCAGTAATATTCCCTGCCTATTAACACAGAAAGATGAAATGTCGTCACTATATCTTTTTAAACTTTTATGTATATGATTTCTATAAATTCTTACTTGAATTCTAATTGAAAGAAAAACAGCATTCTAGTATTTGTCATTTGTTGAAAATATTGATTCAGGAGAGCATTTCAGGATGTATACAACTTTAAGCACAAGAGTATATTATTAATATGTGCCAGAGGTATGGCCTCTTGTGCCAGAGGCTGGCTGAATTGGGGCCCAAGAGTTCTTCGCTACCACATATTAAGTGTTGCTGGGTGGAATGGATCAGCTGGATTCTTATCAACCTCGGTTTGCCAGTTTAAATACTACTATATTATCAACACTAGCTTTCTCTGTTAAAAGTTTTATTCTATCCAAAATAATAAAAGATTGAAATTTAAAATGTTTTAACTCTCTAATAGGTGCTGCTTTAACAAGACTGGGAATTCCAGTATGCAGAAAGGCTCAAGTATTGTCCGTTTATGTTTAGATTGCTTTGCACTAGACTAATCAAAATAACACTGGCCCAAATCATTTGAACTGTACATAGCATTTCCAGCGGAAACTCTCATTGATGATCAGTGGGACTATGGAAAAAGTAAAAAATAATGAGTGCATTGTCCTGTTATGTTCCTGTTGACCTGAAAAAAAAGTTAACGTTTTTGTCTATAAACTTTCCACTTAGAAACAAGTGAGTAATTAAAAGAAAAAAAGGTAAAGAATATGTCATGGGAGTTAAGGCTTTTAATGTGCTTGTGATATGTGTTGAGTCCCAAAAAGCACCACAGTACCAAGAGGACAGCGGATACTAGTTTTGGAACAAAATTAGAAAGGAGGGAGATTAGAAGTGGAATAATTCACATACCTGAAAGCCTCAATGATATAAGCACTAGCTGGTAGGCTTCCAGGGGTGCCCAGTTGCCAGGACAGAGTGACACTGTTCTTAGTAACATCAGTGACCTGAGGTTTGGATGGTGGCCCAGGGAGGTCATTTATATCGTAATTTTTGCTAACAGTTGCTCCGCCAGACTCTGTTAGGGACGAATATACAATATTTTTTTTTATCCTGGATTGTATAAATCTGATCAAAGTAGAATAAAAGATAGAAACATGCCAAACATCTGCAAAGTAAGCATAACCAATGTTCTCAATGTGTAAAGATCCAAGTCAGCAACTGCATTACCAGGCATGTTTTTAGGATGTTTTTATCATTCTTTTGGTGCATATTGAAAGGAAAAACCCACACAACTCAAAAGCTTAAATTAAAAAAGGAAAAGAAAAACATAGCAACACAAAAACTATCATTGTCTGCTGAAGTTTATGTAAAATATCAAAACCTTGTCTCCTAGAAGGCAGAGAAAGCTCCCGTATCCAGATCAACTCCTGTACTCACAGGGAGCACACAGGACCTTGATGGGACTCTCTGTAGGCATGATAGTTTTTCTGCTCTGGGATAATTACAGCATGAGCGCACAGTTCATTGATACACCTATTTAGAAGAATTATAGCAGGCCAGTGCTGCTGAAGGCAAATACAGACAGTTCCACTGTCAGCGGGCAGTTAAAGATAACAACAACGAAATCCAAGGCATGTGAAGAAAGCCAGCCTTCCCACCTAAAATCTTCCCCATCTCAGTCCCGGAATTTCTAGAACAGATTGTTTGACTCAGATTGCTCTAATGTAGCCTACAATTTCGTTTTGTGCAAACTGAAAAATGACACCTGGATGCACCTTACCTGTCACCTCTAGCACAGCACTCCAAGATGTCTCCCCACTTGAACTTGTGGCAACACAAGTGTAAGTTCCAGTATCAGACAGCTAGACATAAAAAACAGTTAACGGCAGTTTTAATAACCATTTAGCATGAGCTGACAGGGTTTGCTCTTTTTTTTTTTCCCCTAAATGTTCCTTGGTAAGAAGGACTTAGCCTACATTTTACAGCAGACTAGAGAGCACCAGACATTTTCAAATAATCATGTAATGGCAGCTTACTTTTCGGGAACTATAATATTACTGGCTTCTAAGAGTTTGCTCTTTCTAATTTTTTTATTGTTAATGATACCAGTAAAGCCTACAAGTGCTACAGGATGGATATTTTAAACGGTGTCAATCTTTTTATAGGTTACAAGAAGTCCAGGTGAAATCAGGTAATGATATAATAACAATCCTTCTCAGAGGATAAAACCTCACAGCTCATAAACCCCTGACAACCAGATACAATTTCCAGCCTCCGGATGGTTGTTCCGTCATCTTACCCTTTTACGATAGAGCAAGTCATTTCTATAAAGGCCACCCCACATACAAGTACTGTTGCTGAGAGCTCTAACTGTCTCACTGCACAGACAGTCTTCCAAGTAATTTTTAAAAGGCCAAGTTACATCAGGTCCAACAAAATATTTCCCTTTCTTCTGTTTCATATGGGATTCTGTGAGTACGCTACCTCTCACCCCTACATGTGATTTTATTTCAGTCTTGAAAGGCACTTCGGGGGGAAAAAATGGGATTTCAATAAAACTGTTGTAATTCCATCGTCAGTTCATACATTACAAATTTGTTTGGGGAAACGGTTTGGATTATATTGTCAATATTAATCTCACTCCTGTATAAATTGTTGTTGCATTGGCAGATTTAACAAGTGTTTTACTATTCCTTACTTCATTTTATAGTAAAGGCTTCTGTGACAGGAGCAGACTTTTTTTGGCAAAGACTACTGAGATGGATAGAAAACTGTAACTTTACAAAATACAGGAGTCCCCCTGCTGCTATGTATAAAGCACGGAAATCTGGAGATGGAAGCAGAAGAGGGAGAGTGCTGACTCCAGTGATAAAGGAGAAGAATTATATTCACAATCCGATGACTTGATGGAAATAAGACTGCATCCAAGAAGCTTTATTGGACTTTAAGGAATTGTAATGGGTGTTCTGCTAAATGCAGATTGGAACTATAATAAATGTGCTTATACCTGACTCTTCAAGAAGAATGTCAAGGCAAATAAGTGAGATGCTCTTTAAGTTACTTGTTGATATATAATTTAATTGATTTTTAACTTTGTCATGTTTGAAATTTGTTGGCATTTTCTGCTTCAGCCACGTTAGGACTGCAGCATACCATTCCTAGGGGCAGGAAGCAATTGATTAATGCCAGGGTAATTGTACAGACTTGCATTTTAGGAGATGCATTCACCATGAAATACAAGGAATATTAAGCCCTTTTGACAATGGCTCAGACGCTCGAAATTTAGAGGTACCTCTAATGAAATGAGAAAGACTCTTGAAAGGAGACAAATTTTCCAGAAGAAGAGAGGGCTTTATAATCTCTGAAGGTACACTATTTTATTCTGCTTCTTCTGACCTTTTATTAAAATATATATAATTCCGCCTTATGTGACAATGGTATACATTTCTCAAGGCTATGATTTGCAACTTCATTTGTGTACCACTGTGACTGATGGTGTATGGTGTACTCAGTGGTGTACGTGCTACACACAATGGACTTACATGCAGCAGGCAAACTCATCACGTAAAGTAAGCCAGAGATATGCTGCATCTTGCGAGTTATGGTGAATTAGCTAACTTCAAGACTATGGATGGACTAGACACAAACACAGCATATTGATAATGCAATTGTTTATACTTTTTTGTGCTACAGAAACAAAAAAAACCTGGGAAGACTAATGGAAAATCTTCGCTATTCAGTATTATATGCACTCTATTTTCTTAGTTAATGCAGATGTCTATATTTGCTGTGGTACAATACTACAAATCAGAAAGAAGTTTTCCTCAGTGTTGACCTATCTAAAAGGTACAGATGAGGAAGTGACATATGTGAGATATTAGTTTTCTTTCTCAGAACAATCTGGAAGATTGGCTCATATGAAAAATCTCCAGGTTCATGTTCATGAGTGTTGCCCAGGGTTCACTGTGATTGCTGCAGCCTCCTAAATAATTTGATTTACACTCAGAGAGACTGGTTAGGCAGATGGGCTCAGGGGTTTAAATTGTCGTGGCTCACCTCTACCTATATCTTGAAATCTTTTATGATTATAGCAGAGATTATTAATTGTGAAGGGAGAAGAAGGATGAAGACTTGCAGGTGTTAAAGAATAATCTGTTTTGAACTTTGGCGCACAAGTAGTGTCAGACTTGGGCACACTTTGTGGTCATTTTTTGGCTTAGGAAGTGTTGACAGTTCTTGTTGGGGTGCATCTGAGAGAAGAGTTAATCATTCCCGACCAGATTTAAATACATAGTTAATACCTAAAAATTGCAACCTATAGAAAAATCTGTTTTTTCATGGTGTTGTGTATGGCGACTCTGACTCAAACACTGCACATTACTGCAGTCAGAGGATTTTATAAGAAATATATTTCTGAGCCTTTAAGGAAAATTGGTTACTAGTGAACGAGCCACTTAAGGATCAATAAAAGCTTCATGTCTTTGAAAAGCACACTTACTATTAATACTGTTTTCTTCTCCCCTTGCAAGCAATTTTTTTCTTTCGTTTACAGACCTTGTGCCTCTAACAGAGAGATTAATGCGCTGGCACGATTCAGAACCTATTTTATTGTTTGCATAGCTGCATGCAGACAGGTATCCCAGGAGGTTTTGCCTCATGGACACTCCACAGAAGCCCATCATTGATGTCTGAAAGTTTGTTTGAAATCACTAAGCTTCTACCTTTAATTGCTGCTTTCTAACGCTACAAGGGAATCTTGACTATTCAAGCGCACTCTTTAATCCAGCTCTACAGGAAAAATGCATTAACCTTCATGGCCTAAACCTGCCTTCAGCCCAGAGAGGAAGGATAAATTGTTTACTCAAGGAAAGCTAGCATAAATTTTTTAATAAATTCCATTTTGTTCCAAGGAAGTTAACAATTCATTTATGATCACTGATGCGATGGTATCAGAAAAAAAAAAAAAGTTTATGTCTTGTTCTCTATAGCTATATTTATTGACTTTTTTGTATGACAAAGCTAGTGCAGAAATTACTGCTGATGAAATTAAATAGTTACTGAAATTGTCTCTAAATTTTTAATAAATAAACTAATTAGATTTACCTTACTATTATTCCACATCCTCAGCAACATAAGAAAAAAACACATATACATGTGGACACACAGACATACACACACATGCATTTCTATCTTTAAAAATGTAAAAAATTAAAAACCCAAACAAAGATTGACATTAGTGATACAGTGTTTACCAGCAAAGTCCAGCATTATACTATCTGGAATATTACAAGATTTCTTGGTACTTTGAAGATATCATTGTATTACCTTAAGAGACAAAATGCAAAAATTATGATACGTATTTCCTTTTAAACAGAAATCCCTCTGTATACGAGTGCACATACGTTCTGGAATTAGTTTGGTCCCATTTGCATGCCTTTTGAAAAACCTCCAGCAAGTGTAAGAGGAATAAATCAGCAAGCTCAAAACTGCCCAGACTCATTGATGGAGAAGGGGCATGGCCAAAGCCCCGATGAACTCCAGAATTCCTTTCTAGCATAACAGCTCCTTGGAAAATAATGTGTTAGGAACTTAGGGAAATGAACTGCTCTAAGTCTTTCCTCTGCTCCCACCTTTTCTACAGCAATGTTGTCAAAAATGAAATAGGATGTAGACTTCACTTGGTGAAAGTTTAATGGAGAAAGAGACTACTAAATTCATTTTAAAGGCAATGGACAGGCAGACACCAGAGCTGCTGGAGACACACAACAGCAGCTCAATACTGGCTATCTTTCATTTGTAGCAGCTGCTTTTGTATCACTACTTACCCGCAGAGTTTTAATCTGAAGGGTCCCCTGATCCTGTATGGATGTTCTAGGATCTCTGCCCAGGAAGGTGAATCCTTCTTTCAACCAGCTAATAACAGGAAGTGGGTCGCCGGTAGCCTTGCACTTCAGCAAAGCTGTCCCATCCACAGCCAATGTCTGATTGACTGGCCCCTGGAGGATGATGGGTGGAGGCCTATCTGTCAAAACTAAACAGTAATACAACAAGTATTGGCATTCACACCTTTAAGAATCCTGTGCTGTGATTAGTTCTTTGTTTGACAGGGTGCCAACTTTAACAGATTGGTTTTATGTTAACCATAAAGGTAAAAATCACTACTTTTGCAAGATCCACAAATACCTCCAAACAATTAACTGGTCAATTTGAAAAGCACTTCTATAAGAATTTTGCTTCACCACAGCGAGGTAACACACAACTACATAAACGTCTGTTAGCAAGGATCTTCAGCCTCATTCGATTAAGACGAGATAAAAATTAAGACCTTGATTCAGAAAAGAGCTGAGATACATTTTTTATTTCTTCCAATTCAGGAAAGCATTTAAAGCATATAGTCAAGTGTCAGATCAAAATATGCTTAATTGCTTACCTGATTCAGGGCCTACAAGAGAAAAACTGTAAAAGTTCAAAGTGAAATACTGTAGCCATTTTAGCATGGGCAGCAACCACATTTCCCATTCTCCTCAATTTGCAAGTACTCATCAATAAAAATATCTAACAGTAATACAAAACCTTTCCATAATTCCAGAAAAAAAGAGTTCAAACTTCATCAAGCTGTCTAACAGCTTACTTATCAAATCATGTCCTCACCTTTTAAACCCATGAACTCCGTTATTTTTTTCACGATAATTTACGTTTGCATGCTTGAGATACCCCACAAGAGATTTTGTAACCACTGAGTGCATGGCTGCAATATAAGCCTCATTCCATGACCAGTGAGATATCTTGAAGACAAGGTAAAAAGCTCATGTTCACTTTTCTTGCAAGAACAATTTTTCATAAATAATTCTGCTGTTGAACCTATTCTCAGTGCCATCTGTTAAGCAGCAAAAATATAACTCTTTGTTCCTAAAGAACTTGTTTATACAAAATGAAGGTGAAATATTCAAAGCGAAACAAGGCTATGACTCCTTCATAAATACAGGCCAACAGAACTGAGAATTCCTTTTTGTATATTTACCTTCCGCTCTGCTGCTGTTTTAAATCTTTGAAAAACCGAACAACTCTACATCTGATACTCAGTATTTTAACTGACAGGACTAGCTCCTTAGATGGTGCAAATTAGCCTGCTTCCACTAATGCCAACTGAGTTCTAATCATTTATTCCAGCTGAGAATATGGTTCACTGTATTCCATACACAATACGTGACTCTTAACAGTGAAGTCAAAATAAATTATTCTGAAACAATGTGGTTTTTTTTGTACTTGAGCTGCTCAAAACGTGAACCTCTGAAACCTTCAACTGATCCAAAGTACTTTCAGTATGCTATTTAATAAATAGAAAGTGTTAAGGACACGTTAGTGGCACATTTTATATTTATAATAATTGTTTCTGAAATTGTTATGTTGCAAAGATACTAAATTCCTTTTTTTACAAGATACACAGAGGATAGAATCACCAGCACTAGGTAACACCTTGCAATGTTAGTTCATCACATTTATTGAAATTGAAAACTGAGAGTGGAAAGCCAATTCAGATTATATATTCACGCTAGAACATGAAAGCTATTTTGGAAATTCTGAAATATCACACAGTGAACTCAGAGATAAGACAGGAAACACTGTGTTAAAAGAAAACACAAAATGTAATGCATTTTCACCTCGATACGAAAATTTTGATCTCAATAAGGTTCCTTACGACTACATAGTTCAGTCATTTGGTGAAAGCTCAGCTCATATATACCATCAGTGTACCTGTAGCAAGAGTATATTGAAGTGAAAATTTAGCTTTGTAAGTTTTCATTTAGATTTAATGTAGAACAATAACTCTCTGTTACTTAGGTAAGTACAAATTAAGAAAAAAATAGGATTACTTAGGTTGCTAATTATTTCATTGTAGTTACTTGTTACAACTAATTGTCTTTTACATGTGTAGCAATGTAGGTATTCTCAAAGCCTACTGCACCACAGATATTGTCCTTTGGCATCTAATTAGTTTTTTTACAGCCCAAATGAGGAGCTCATAATCCTTTAAATAGCTTTGATCAATAAAGTAATTGAAAGTCTCCTGGCCAGAAGGAATCTTCATTTTCAAGGGTGTTATGGGTGAAAGACTACTACAGGTTTCCATGACACTAAGGCCAAAGGTTAAATGAACACTTAGGGTTTCCAGTGATCTGTGAACAACTGCATTGCCTTCACAACTACAACTTGTAAATCTTCTCTAAAATGTGTGTATACTCTCTTGTATCCCTACTACATAGGTTTCATCATGATTAAGGAACCAAAACTTGACCAGAGGTTTAAAAAGATATACGTATAACATAAGCAGTCTGAAGAACAGAGAAATAATGAAAAATGTCCACAAAAAGCTTTTTTTTTTTTTGGGGGGGGGTGGCTAGTTTCTTTTATAATATTTTACAATTTTTATTTAAATTTTACATTGTTTTCTCCTAGCACAAAACTTTTATATTTATTCTACAGGAAAATTTTTTGTGACTAAATTGTACTTGCATAGTATAGGGAAAGTTAATCACAAAATTAATTTCACTCAAAAACTAATTTTGAAACTATCTGCAAGCAACCATATATTCACACTTTCTGATAACTGAATCATTATCATATGCCTTTTGTGATAAAATGTATCTCACATATTGAACAGAGTATAATAGAGGAACAAATTATATTCATTAATGGACATCTTATTTACCACCAATGCAGTTTGGGTCTATTGAAACCATATTTAAATTTGGTTAAAATTTGGTCAAATTGCAACAAGAAATTAAAAAAAAAAGAGAGAATGACAAAATTAAGTCTTAACTTTATTTTAGCACTTCCAAAAATCGGTATTTCGAAAGTTTTCCTGGCAAATTAACAGGGAAAATGAGACACAACTCACAGAATTGGTGACCACCTGTATGATAGGGTAGGAATCTCCCCTGAGAGGTGAAAAAGCAGAGATCAGTCATCCCTCTGTCCTTTTTGGAGAAGAGTTGTGAACTGAGGTCTCCTACATGTTAGGAGGCTATGGAGTTAGTCTGAATCTCTCCCGTTTGAAACTGTAACACTTTCTATAAAATATTTAATATGCATTGATCAGGGATAGGAGCCAAGATGGCCAAATTTGCGGAGGGATAAACTGTGACCAATATTAAATAATTCATTCATCCTTTCTTGTTCTCTCTCTTGTTCTCCCCTTTTGGTTATACTCCATAAGTATTTTATTCTAAATGTAACAGCTTCAGCAGGAGGATTTGAGAGAGACATACCCTAGCATATTCTATAGACCCATAGTCAAAAACTGCACAGGAGCTTTGGAAAAATACCTCAAGTCTATTCCAAAACAGTAGAGAGGGAGCTGTTGAGGTATGCTGCCATCTCCTTCTCTTTTATCTTTGTCATTTGTTCTGAATTCTCCTTTTAGGCCCAGACTTTTGCTTTCATTCAAATGCACAGAAACATGACCTTTTTTAATTAATTGACTAGTCTAAAATGTGTCGTCCTTATGTTGATATAAAGTCCTTGTGGGGATAGGGCTTGCTCTTCAACCCAAACACACATTCTAAATAGCAGCTGCTGGGAAAACCAAGCAAAGTAGGCTGAATTTAGTACGTAGTGGCCAAAATTTTTATTAATGAATGTAAGTAATGACTGGACAAGGAGAAACTAAGATCTTCTCCAAAATACTCTGTGCATGGTGGATCAATTTTTTGTATAAATAACTAATTGTAAATTATTCTTTTTATCATGCACACAGACACAGTTAGATGGAGGTATTTAGTATATTTGCATGATCTGCTATTATAAGACTGTGAGCTGCACATTTACTTTTGCTTTTGAAAGGATTGCTAAGATTGTCTCAATTTTTAAAATGATTTTGCTTTTCCAGATGTGCATTAGACTGTGGATTATATGATAATCTTTAAAGAAAATACAAGATCTGAATTTCAAATTCACCGAAGCCTCTTAGTACAGTCCATAATCAGCAAAATTATCACTCAACTCAGCACATTTCATCACAGCTAGTAATCTCTTCTCATGTGAACACTCGAGTTAAAAATATTTTCAGTGAAGACTTGTAAGTGCAAAAATGTAACAACTGAAATACTGCTATATATGGTATAATTAAGCACTTGTTTTTCTGCACATGACACATGTTTTCATTCTGCATTGGAACTTCAATTGGATTTAAATTACTCTGGATCAAACAAAAATGTGTTCAAAATGAAAAAGATGGCTCGCCACTGTTATTAAATCATTAACCAAACAGAAAAATTCTGGGCTATGAAGTAAAACTGAAATCACCAGCCAAAAACTAGAACACTGATGCTTAAGTATATGGCTAGCATGTGCAGCATTTATCTTTTGTTATATTTTTAAAACCATGAAATTACATTTCCTTACTGATAAAAATTATTAGCTTCTATAACTTCTGCTCAGCATCAACCAGAACAGATTATTTAGACATTTATGGTTAACTTCCTAACTGAAAGCAATTAAAAAATATCTGTGATCTGACGGTACATTTATTTGTATAATCTCAGTTCCACAATATTATTTATTTTGGCACTTGTCTCTGACCTCACCTGCCCTTTGACTCAATGATGAAATGGTATTTCTATAAAGTAACCTTGCATTATTTCACAATGATCATGCTGACAGTAGGTTCAGGGAAGTGTTTTAAAAATGCAGGTCTTTCATTCCCTTAGCAGGAGTGCCAACAACTAACGCTGTCTTTAGGAATGTGGAATGCACAGTGCCTTTAATTAGAAGCAATTGTGGTTGAGTTTGCATTTTAGCAGAGACAACTTTATGAGCTTTCTGTTGACTTGTTAAATAAACGGATGAAAATTCCAAAGAGGTCAATTATATGTAGTTTTTTCTTCCACACATACAAATAGATAAAGGTGGACCACAGGTCTTGTCTGTCAAAAGGAAGAATTTCTCATCACTGATATCCTTGAACCTGATTTGCTCCTTTCGGCCCCTGCTGGCAGTAAATCTGTACAGTGTCAGCAGGTGCAACCATTAACAGCTCAATGTCCTCTCGGCCAATGTTTGTGCATTCTATTTATTCCAATCACAGTCATGGCACTGAATCAGGCAGTGCTATGGACAGATATTAAAAAATACTGCCTTTCCATTAATTTTAAATGACCTTTTAATCTACATTTAAATTTAAATGGAATGAAAATGCATCATTTTGTCATAGAGAGTGAGAGAAAGGAAAGACATAAGAGCTTGCAGAGAGAAGGTTAGACTTTAGTCTCCTAAAAACTACTTTATGGAAATGCAACGTGCTTGTAAAGATACAAGGATAAGGCAGAAATTATCTCCCCTTGTCATAAAAATATAGACAGCTTTTAGAAAACAAAGAAAAGGCATCAAATTAATGCTCAGACGTCTCTAACATGTGCCTGAACCTCTCTACCTGTCACTTGTGATGAATATGCTCTTGTGAAAAGGCAGATTATTCAGAATTAGACATCTTTTCAAACTTTCATGGTGCAGGCAGGTCTCTAAGGGAACAGTAATAGTAGCCCTCTGCATATAACAACAGTTTTAATGGTAAAAATTCATCAAAGTCTGTCAGGAGATATTTAATGAGTCAGTTAAGACAGGGAATAGTGATGCCTGGGAATGCCACGATCTCCTAGTATAAAAGAAACTTTGTTATTTTCTTTACTAATATTAAAAGATGTAAACCTCCTCTAGCACAAGGAGGATGGAAGAGGAATATCAACAGGATTCCTGGAATTTGAAGAGGCTTCATCTTTGTATATGGAGTAAGGTAGGGAGAAGGCACAATCATTTTCTAGAACAAAATTTGGAACTGGAAAGCATCAAGTCAGATAGTGTAGTGCTGCTCTTTTCTCTTCCTTTTCTGTGAACTCTTCTCTACCTATGTATTTATATAGCTCTTCTCACATCTAATGATATTAAGAAATTCTTAGAACACACCTGTGAGGTAGGGAAAAATCTTTGTGCCTTATTCACCCAGGGAGTGAAGGGCTACATATTCCAGCTGTTCTACATTAACAAAACTTCAGTGAGTTCAATGTACCTGTGCTGATTTATTCAAGCTAAGGACACATCCTCAGATTAGTTGCCGAAGGTAATACTGATGACTGTGGCTGAGATGGGAATTGAGCCTAGTTCTTCTACACCCCAATTCACTGTTTTAATCACAAAACTATTAACTCTTCACAATATGTTTCTGCAGTTCTATCTTAGCTCTAGTGAGCATCTGTCTTTCTCACCAACCCTATTCTAAGATGGTTTGTCCCTCATCTGGATTATTGAGGAGCTTCCAGGCAGAATGCAGAAGGCAAATCCGTCTGATGCCTTTTTGATACTATAGAGAACTGTGTAATGAGACCCTTTTTCATTGTATTGCCTGTAGAAACTTGTGTGTTTACTTGTACCAATTATGTGATCTCATATACCTATATTTACAGTACTTTTAAAATATTCTGCTTTTGGCAGAAAAAAAAAAACAATAGAAATTTTATATCTCACCATCAGTAACTTCCAGCTGAGCCTTTGCTAAAATGCTTCCAGCAACCGTCAGCGCTTGACAAATGTAGTAGCCTGCATCAGACCGCTGAATGTTGGAAATAGTGAGGTCTCCTGATGGTGATACTGAGTACCTACTGTTGGGTTGGAGAGGCTGGTTTGGAAAGAGTAGATTCTGCAAAGACAATTCAACTCATATCAATGCAGAACATAAACCACATTTCCCTCAGCTAAAGATACAATAATTTTTCCTTAAAAGCACTATACTTAAGTTAAAAAGAAAATGCAAGTGTGGTTACAAATTTATGAACATATAAAAATAACTTTCCTGCCCTGGGTAACCTGAAGTTTAAATTAGAAACAGCAATCTGACAGCAGACAATGGTGTGCGCTGGCTGCGGAGTTTACACAAGGAGAAATTTTTCAGCAATCACACTTGAGTGATCTGTATATGTTACATGTTTATCTTCACTCTGAATTTAATAATGTACTTAGTTGGCTGACAAACCAGGAGAATCTAATAAAAAAGTAAACATTAGAAAACTACCAGGAAGAATTGAATTCTAGAGACTCGAGGGCTATTATTCGGCAATGAATATGGTTCCGGGCAAAGGAGAAAGTAAAAGCAAGGCATGGAAGCAAAGCTGGGAGGATGATACAAATAGGTCATGAAGTAGGAGAAGTTGGCAGAACATGAGAGCTTAAAGGAGGAGTAGCAGGAAATTAAAACTGAGAAATACCAAAGGAGGAAAGCAGAACGGAGCCTTGAAGGTGAAGATAAAGGCTATAAATCTGATGTGGAAAACATCAGAGAGAAAAAATAATATAATGTAGGGTAAGACATCATAGTTAGCACAGAACAGGGAGGTTAGCTTTTCCCTTCGGGCTGGACTGGAGAAAAGAAAGATGTCAATAAGAATAACTAGAATGGATGCAGTAGTCATCGAATATGATCAAGGATTGAATGAATCAATAATACGGACAGAGACTGAAAAGGTGAGGGGTGTATGTAAACAGGAAAAGTTACTCCATCTAGCAAAGCCCTTGATGTGAATAAAGAGGAATAAGAAGAGGGAAGCAATATGTACAGAAAGGTTAGTAGAGTTGCCCAAGGAGACAGAAGGGGGAACAGAGAAGACAGATTAAGAAGTAGTAATGAATTGGTAAATTCCAGATCCAGGAAAACAGGATCTGGCTTAATTAGAACGTTGATTGAACAAGCTTCTATAAAAGTACAATTGTTTGTATCAGGAATATCCCCAAAACACTGGAACCATGCTATGATAAGCTTCATTTCAGCTTGCAGCTCTGTATTATTCTGCTTTGCTTTCTAATAATGACTCCATATTAACTTTTAAGCTTGCCTGTGGGGGCTAAAAAGATCTGCCTCTTCTGCGATAGACAGATAATTTACAGAAAAGAATTTGTATTTCTGCATTTACAGAAAATGCTTTGCGATTGGCAACCAGCAGACTTGGATTTCAAAAAATTCTGCTTTGAAGTGAAACTGACACTTTTGCCTCTTCATAAGGTACAGATCTCTTAATCTCTGCATTAAAAAGAAGAGAATATCCTTTTTCGAATCTTCAGCAGGGGTCAGTCAGATCTTGCGGGGTACCAGGTGCCAGTTTTCCACACTTTAGTAGGAGCTGATGGGTCTCATGACTCTCTCTTTCAAGGGCGGGCCAGCTAATTGTGAATTGTAACTTGTCCTAAATTACAGTAGAACCCACTATTTTAAGGTCTTTGCAATTTCACTGGATTTAACTAGCTGACAGGTTGCTCATCCAGGGACAATGGTGGCATGCTGGGTTGCAAACAGAGGGGCCACAGTCATACCTGATGTAATACCACTGTCTTCTAGATTTATCTCAGAGAAGATTTTAATCCAGAGAGTTTAGAGATTACGCACTTTGTGCCCTGGTGCATTTCACCGGTGTGTAGCTGTCAGGCTCTGGGGAAAAAGGCTACCAGGTACAAAGGACCAGCTGTTTATGCACAAGCTGGCACAAAGATCATTCAGGAGGGAACTGTTCCCCTCCCTCCCAGCTGCTCGAGCTCAGAAACACAGGGTGGAGAAATAGACCCAGAATGAAAAATGCCCCGCAACTACTGGAGTGGGCTAACATGGCTACATAACATTACCCTGAACACTAAGAGTGGCACTGCAAACGGTTCCTTGGAGAAGCACACATTGTAAGTCCACACAACAACCTGTGGCCAGGCACACACAGGTGAAATATGCCACATGCTCAGCAGGCAATGCTTAGATTCGGCTAAAATAATGATTTGGCATCATCCTCTAAACTGTGATGATGAAATACTGCATGTGAAAACTCAGCCATTCAATGGGGTATCATTCAAAATCTGGGAAGTTTTATATTGGAATGGCAACATTAAGCTCTCTTACTTCGCTGATGCTCAATTAAGAATAACATGGGTATAATGAATCACGTTGAGTGATGTTTCAAGGTTTGATTATAAACAATGTAGGTATCAATTTTTATGTTGCATTTATTCGCCAAAAAAAAGAACATTCTAACCCTCAGAGATCTGATTCTCAACATGGTAATTAATTTTCCAGGTTTGTAATTAAACAGTTTCAACATAGTACAATCAGTAGGTAATAACATTCAATTAAAGACACAAGATGCATTTTCACCTTAAAATGTTTTTACCCTTGAAGTGATACCAATGGAAAAGGATAAAATAGAGTATTAACACTTTTCAATTACGCTAAACGACTTTAATCCTGCAAATGATGTCCTACTTTAATTAGAAGCTCTTCTCTTTATTACAATATGATGGATGTCCACTTTATTAGATTCAAGTGTGACACTATAAGCTCACTTTACATAAACATTACCATGTTATTAAAGTCCTCTACAAGGAAGGTTTTCGAAATGTTTGCTAGCACATCAGTACTTCCTACTTCAAATTCAAAATGCTATTCTACTTTTCCCTTGGAACAGTTTTCACCTTAGTGAGAGTCACAATACTGTGTTTTTCCAGTATGTGATCCATGGTGGCTAGATTTGAAGTTCTCTGCGTGACAGGCTGAAAGAAACACATTGAAGACTGAGCTTACGCTCTTACAACAATAGTCTTGTACCTCTGTA